AGATCAAGCGGAAATATAACATTAAATCCCTAATTGATATTCCATCAATCAATGAAATGCTGAAGCAGAAACTTCAGCTAAAAGCGCAGAGAACAAGACGATACGAAAAACGTTGTAGGTTCTATCGCCAAAATAAAATATTCCGAACAGATCTTAAGAAATTTTACAGGGAAATTGGAAAAACACCTATACATGTCGAAAGGCCACCATCGATTGATAATGTACAGACATTTTGGGAAAATATTTGGAGCAGCCCAAAGGAATATAACCCAAATGCAGAATGGATACGGTGTGAAGAAGAACGACTGCTGGATACACCTCTGCAAGAATGGGAAAATATATCCACAGATGATGTTAGGCAAGCTCTAACGAAATCCCAAAAATGGAAATCCCCAGGATATGACAAATTGCCCAATTTCTGGCTGTATCATCTCTCATCTACCCATGAAATTCCTGCAAAACCATTATCAACGCTTGTAAATAATCCCAATAAAATCCCGGGATGGATTACTGAAGGTATTATATACCTCATACCAAAAACAACTGAAACAGACGACCCGAAAAATTATAGACCAGTAACATGTCTCTCCACAACGTATAAGTTGATCACGTCTGTACTGACGAACCGTACTTATTCCTTTTTCGAAACAAACAGCATTCTCCCGCTGGAACAGAAGGGATGCAGAAGAGGTTCATATGGCTGCAAAGATCAACTTCTGATAAATAAGATGATCCTGGAAAATTGCAGGAGACGACGCAGAAATCTAAGTGCAACGTGGATTGATTATCGTAAAGCCTTTGATAGTGTTCCACATTCTTGGATCCTTAGGGCTTTGGAAATGTACAAAGTCTCCCCTGTGGTATTAAATTTCCTTAAGCACAGCATGGGAATGTGGAACACCAAACTATACCTTAGTCACACCGGGGGCACTGCCATATCCAACCGTCTGAATATCCGACGTGAAATCTTTCAAGGAGATTCTCTGTCACCCCTTCTGTTTTGTTTATCCTTAATCCCTCTTACACATGAACTGAACAACAGTAGCTATGGTTACAAAATAAATAAGAAAATATTCAATCACCTACTCTACATGGATGATCTCAAACTCTTTGCCAAAGACGACAATGAGTTGAAAGGCCTCCTCAATATTGTAAAATACTTCAGTGACGACATAGGTATGGACTTCGGATTAGATAACTGTGCAAAAGTAACATTCAAGAAAGGTAGAATTACAGAAACACCCTTAATAGATTTAGATTTTGTCACAAAGATTAGGGAACTGGAGCATGATGAAGCTTATAAGTACCTAGGAATTAGCGAAGGAGATGGCATACAACACCCCCAAATGAAGGAAAAAATAAGAAAAGAGTACTACAGACGTGTACGTCTGGTACTAAATACTGAGCTAAACTCAAAAAACAGAATATCAGCCATAAACACATTGGCTGTCCCTGTGGTGCAATACAGTTAATGTCCTTAACTGGACCATAGCTGAAATTAAGCGAATGGACGCCAAAACGAGAAAACTTCTCACTTGCTATCGCATGCATCATCCCAAAGCTGATGTTGATCATCTGTATGTGCCCAGATCCGAAGGAGGCAGAGGATTAGTTCAACTAGAACTGTCCTACAAAACTACAACAATTGGCCTCCAAAGATACTTGGAAACTACAGAAGACTGGATGATGGTATGCGTCAAGAAACATGAAAGTAGTAAGCGTCTTTACTCCGTAATGAAAGAAGCCAACAAATTCAAAATGGAGTTTCAAATGGGCGTAGAGATGCAACTACAGCACCATACACCGGCTGAAACTGCAAAATACATAAAAAAGACAGCAAAGACGAATGCAACCGATCTGATACAGAAGCGATGGCAAGATAAACCGCTTCATGGCCAATACTCTGCCCATACCAAACAAGCTGACGTAAACAAAACCCGTACCCATCAGTGGCTACGTAGTGCAGGGTTGAAAGTGGAAACTGAAGGTTTTATCCTTGCTGAGCAGGACCAATGCTTGCTAACTAGGAATTATCAAGCACATATACTAAAATATTGTGTCAACCCAAAATGCAGATTCTGTGATAAATATCCAGAAACGATTGATTATCTTGTATCAGATTGCACGATGTTGGCACCCACTGAATATAAAACCTGACATGACAGAGTGGGCCAATATCTGCACTGGAAAATCTGCAACTTCTACGGAAAGGAAACTGAAAGAAACTGGTATGAACACCACCCAGACCCGGTTACAGAGATAGGACCTGTTACAATTCTATGGGTCTACACAATACACACTGACAGAACAATCAAGGCCAACCGCCCAGATATTGTTATTAAAGACCACAAACAAAAACAGTGCCTCCTTATTGATATGGCAGTCCCTGCTGACTGCAATGTATCTTTGAAGATATTCAAAAAGCTGTCAAAATACAAGGACCTTGAAATAGAAATCTCAAAAATGTGGCATATGGGAACATCAACAATCCCTGTTCTAGTTAGAGTCCTAGGACTGGTTGGAAAAGATTGCAGTAGACTAATTGAAGGGATTCCTGGAAGTCCATGTCTCAAGGAGATACAAAAAATTGTTCTGACAAGTACAGCCCACACTTTACGAAGGGCTTTATCTATGTAATTTTTTTTTATTTTTTTTTTTTATTGTCAGTGGAAAGTGTCATGATGCCATTTCTAACCTTAGGTCCCTGGGCAGGACCCGGAAAGAAATGTGTAAATGCCAGAAATGAAAGAAAATAAAAATAACCTGTAATGTAGGTTCTGTGATGAATATCCAGAAACAATTTGAGTATATTAATAAGAAATTTTATTCAGTAAAAAGGAAGCCAACAAATACAAAAAGCTGGTGAAGAAGTACAAATAGACCATAAGAAACTTACTGAAGCAGAAAAGAACCTAAAAAGAAAACAAAAGCAAATGCAATGTACCAAATGTAGAAATGATGGTAAGATAAGCCTGTTCATGGTCAATACTCTGCCTGTATCAAATAAGATGATGTAGCCAACCCCTGCAACCATCAGTAGTTACATAGTGCAGGGTGAAAAGCTGAAACTGAAGGTTTTATTCTTGCTACACAGGACCAATGCTTTCTAACTAGAAATTATCAAGCATGCATACTGAAAAACTGTGTTAATCCCTAATCCAAATTCTGTTATAAATATCCAGAAACAATTGATCATCTTGTATCAGGTTGCACAATGTTAGCACCAACTGAATATAAAACATGGCATAATAGAGTGACAAATATCTGCATTGGAAAATATGCCACTTTTATGTGAAGGAAAATCTGCCACTTTTATGTGAAGGAAAATCTGCCACTTTTATGTGAAGGAAAATCTGCCACTTTTATGTGAAGGAAAATATGCCACTTTTATGTGAAGGAAAATCTGCCACTTTTATGTGAAGGAAAATATGCCACTTTTATGTGAAGGAAAATATGCCACTTTTATGTGAAGGAAAATCTGCCACTTTTATGTGAAGGAAACTGCTATGAACATCACCCAGATCCAGTTACAGAAATAAGATCTGTAACAATTTTATGGGACTTTACAATACACACAGAAAGATCGAAATTAAATCCAATCACCCAGACATTGTGATCAAAGACCACAAGAACAGAATGTGCTTTCTTATTGACATAGCAGTCTCTACAGAATGTATGGTATCTCCTAGAAGAGATTCCTTGTAGCCCATGCCTTAAAAAAACACAAAAAATTATACTCATAAGTACAGTTCACACATTATGAAGAGTTTTATTTATGTAAAATGTATGTGATCTTGTTTTTTTTTTTTATTTTTTTTTTTTTTTAAGAAAATGATCAGTGGAAATTGTCTTAAATTCATTTTGGACCTTAATTCTCTGGTTGGAACCTGGAAGGAAATGTGTATACAACATAAATGAGAGGAAATAATAATAATAATGTACATCATAATATATAATAATAATATATATGATAAATAATAATAATAATAATAATGTACATCATAATAAATAATAATGATCTGTTGGAGTCCTAGATAATCTTAAGATATGTACATGAAATAAACTTTGGAATATTAGAATTTATCATAACTACATTTGTTTTTTACAGATCTTTAGTCTAAAGATTATTTTATGTGTACATCTAAAGACTCCCAACAATTCCCCTATATTGTTAATAAAAGAAGAATCTGCAATGTTATCAGTCCTGACCTGACATCTCGCCTTCAGTCACTTTCCTACCACCATAGCATAACTTCCCTGTGCCTTTTTTTATAAATGTTTTCATATTTCTGATGAGCTCTCAACTCTGGAATCTTGACTTTGTGAACTTAACACACTGGCAGTTAGGTCACATCTTTTTACTGATAAAATTGCTAAGTGTATGCATAAGTTCTCTTCTAATGTTTTCTCATGTTTCACCTGTGGAACTCTCATCTAAATTCTTGCTTTCCTATTGACTACAATCTTCAAAAATTTAAATGCAATGTCAGTCATCATCTACTGAATTCTGTTCTTTTTATTGTCTTTTCTCTTCAGCAATATTTTGTTTTCTCAGTTTCCTCTGTTCTCGGTAACTCCTTGCATCTTAGTTGCAGTGTTTGGAGGGTATTTTAAAAAAATTAGTGGGTATCAAAAGTATTTTTGTTATTTACTGACTATTGTACCAAAGATTATGCTATCTATACCATTAAAGACAATCTATAACCTTACTATATTAGTAATATTATTATTATATATTAGTATTTTCATTTTTTCACAGATGGCTACAGTTTATTTCATGTATGCATCTAATGACTATTGCTGTCTCTGCATAAGATCATGAAATATTACCAATAATTACAGTTCAGATATATTCACCAGATTTTATAAAAACACTGACATATATTTCATGATAATAAACAGAATATGAAAGTATACACAGACACCCACAGCCACATTAATATAGATTGCTACAAATATAAAAGCCAAAAAGTTAGTCTCAGATGGTTTCCTAAATAGATATGAATTCTTCTCATGTAAACATATCTATCTCAGTCTATTTATATCTATCTGTTTATTCATTTATTCCAGTTTATTCATTATCTATCTATTATATTCCGTTTTTATCTAGTTATCTATCTGTATACCTATCTATTTATCTCATTCTGTTTTTATTTATCTATCTATCTATATATATATCTATTTTAGTCTGTTTATATCTATCTATCTATCTATCTATCTATCTATCTATCTATCTATCTATCTATAGTCTCTTTTTATCTATCTATTTTTTATCTATCTAAATATATTCATATCTAACAGTCTGTTTTTATCTATTTATATATCTATTTTAGTCTGTTTATATCTACCTGTCTATCTACCTATCTAACTTATCTATGTATCTATATATGTATTTTAGTCTGTTTATATCTATCTATCTTTGTTTTTATTTATCTACATATCTATCTCAATATATTCATATCTATCTCTCTATCTATCTATTATAGTCTGTTTTTTTTATCTATTTATCTATCTATCTAAATCTGTTTTTATCTATATATATATATATATATATTAATTTTAGTCTGTTTATATCTATCTATCTATCTAATCTATCATGGTCTGTTTTTATCTATTTATCTATCTCAGTATGTTTTTATCTATATATACATATTAATTTTAGTCTGTTATATCTATCTATCTATAATCTGTTTTTATCTCTCTCTCTCTATCTATTTTTTTTATTTATCTATCTCAATATATTCATATCTATCTATCTATCTATCTATCTATCTATCTATCTATCTATCTATCTATCTATCTTAGTCTCCTCATATATATTAATAATATTACTAATAATATAGTGGAGTAATAGATAATATTTAGATATACATATTAAATAGGCTTTGGGGTAAATGGTTTTTGAAAAGAACAGGGATATTTTTGTAACATTATAATATATAAAAATAATAATAATGAAAATGTCATCATAGAAAGTCTTTTGATTTATTCATGAAATAACCTTTGGATTAAAAACAAAAGTACTTTTGATAGGCTCTAATATTCCAACACTTGTGAGAGCTGTTTACAAAATATATTTTATAAGAAATGTCATTGTTGTAATAATGTCTTTTTATATTGGCAGTGAATCAGCTGCATATTCAAGACAGGCAGTGAAAGCAATGATTGTCCTCCGTTGGCTGATGAGAGATTTTTAACAGTATGATATCACACAAAAATATCCTGGTATTAAGTGGTTAAACAAACAGTTGTTGTCAGGTCAGTATTTTGGAACAATGAAGGTTTTTTTGAAAGAATGAATTGCAAGAATACTTTAGACAAAGTAAAATACATTGATTAAAGTCAGTGAATGAAACCTTCAGATAAACAAATAAGACTAACTGATAAGACGTATGTATAAATAATTACATAACATTCACTAGTATGTCAACCATGGTGCAAATGTTTAGCAGGCAGTTTTTAACAATTGTGATGAAGATGTTAAGAATTTTTTACTCTATATAAGTCTTAAGGTCATTCAAGGTCTACCTGTCAGAAAGAGAAATGGCCTGCAAATTTGAGGTTTCAAAATTAACCAAATAAAGAAATCCAACTATCTTGAAGATTTTTTAATAAAGAAAAACAATGTGAAACCAAAATCTAAAGATGCATCAGAATACCAAATTAGTGTGTTGGTTACTTCAATATTAAATGTGTAAGGTTTCTTATGAGGATATTTTACAATACATGAAATAATGGTGGTCAAAGGGTACATGCACAAAATAACAGACCAACTGATTTGCAATGCAAGATAACATCTATTAAACAATATCAACAAAAGGAAAGTTTAAAACAAGAGTTTCTTTTACTAGAAGTAAATTGCATACACAATAAAATGTTTATGAATATGTTTGAGTGGGACTTACTATGTAGATGTGTTTTAGTAAGAAGCATCCACAGCACTTTTGGCTTCAGTGCGAAAAGTTCATGTCACATAACTCGAAAAGAGGAAAACCTGGAAGAGAGTTACTTTAAAGGTTTGCATTGTTCTTATACCCCCAGGGATGCTGCTGATACTATTTTTATTAAGAAACAGGAAAATTTCATTATAAACTAAGAAAATAGTGAGGACCTGTTATGTAATATCAATCCTATACGACAGTGAATGCTAAATAAGATGAAGAGGTGGCAACTTGAATCAGCATAGATGTGGTTCTACAAAAAGGTGCTGAGAATACCATAGGGAGAACATGTGAGTAACAGGGAAGTTTAAAGGAAATGGAAATGAAAAACACTTATACTTAGAATCAGAAATGGACAATTAATATTTCTGGGATACATAATAAGGAAAGAGAGATTGAAGAATTTGTTACTCACAAGAAGAAATATTGAAAGCAAGAGGAACAGTAAAGAGACAAACATTACTAAGAGCTACAAAGGATAGGAAATTGTGGGAAGCTATGACCGTCAATGCTCTGAAGGGACATGGCATATAAAAGAAGAGAAAGTGAAAATCAAGAATTGTTACTATATTAAAAACCACCCTGATATATTTTAAATAGAATGATAAAATTCTTTAAGAAATTAATCTGAGAAGCACAAATATTTGGAGAGTTATACAACATACTATTTGTAAAGCTGCGTCCAACTACCTACTGCTTTAGAGCCTTTCTTTAAACTAGGTGGACATTTCCGTTTAAGTTTCTTATTTCTTGTTTTTTATTTTTAGCCTTTAATTCATTTATGTTGCAATACTTTTCATCATTTCTACCCTTCAATTTGGTATCAGCACAGATCACTTTGTGAATGATTGCTATAACACACACCAAAATTTATATGCACATTTATTAAGATATCATAAAGAAGAGTATTACTTGTTAAGTCAGCCACAGTTTGAATTTTTGAACCCCCTAAATAGCAAGTCCCAAACTTATTTTCTATTTTTTATTAGCACAGATGATAATTACATAGTTTCTTAGCTGATCACTGAGTTTAGTATGTTAAGATTTTAAACATATCACATTATTTACATAGAGAAAATAAGTCCCAGTTCAAATTATCTTTATTATGATAAGGATAACATGAAATTCAACACCATTGTCAATTATATTTATATAAAATGACTATTACAATAAAAGTTTGGATAATTCTTATTATTTTTAAAGAGTGCATGTGTTTAAAAAATAAATTAAGCTGTGGAAGTTATTTTTTAAAATCCATTCAAAATGACAAAAAGTAAAGATATAGATTCAGGATTTGATATTTGGATCATTGTAAAAATATTCAAGAACATGAGGAGAAGAAGAAAGATTTTGCCAATAATTATAATTCAAATATATTCACCACACTTTCTGAAAACACATATTTTTCATGATAATTAACAAAATATATGCATATGAAAGTATGCATGCACACACACAATCTATTGACATCTATCTATCTATCTATCTATCTATATATATATATATATATATATATATATATATATATATATATATATATATATATGTATTAGTGAATATACATAACATCAAAAGTTGATAGCATGACTCAGAGTTTTGTGCATTTCATGCAATCATCAGGTGCAGAGATATACTCTAATATTCACTAATATATACTTATAACTCTGTTTCATAACATTGAGCACTGTATTTATAACACCTGAGAATGAAATATATTTATACATACATGCAAGTATTTGTGCCTGCATGTATATTTTTTATCCTACGCATTCCTATATATATATATATATATATATATATATATATATATATATATATATATATATATATATATATTTATATCCAAGTATAGGATTGGTGTATATGGAATAAATTCCAATAACCAAGAAATACCATTCTTAAAAGAGTGCTCAATACAGAGTAGAGCAAATATATATATATATATATATATATATATATATATATATATATATATATATATATTAATAAATATTCATATTATCCCTCACCGGTAGAACAACTAGTCTATTCATGTGTATCAGCCTACCTACCTATTCACATCTATCTATCTATCTATCTATCTATCTATCTATCTATCTATCTATCTATCTATCTATGTCTGTACATACACATTTATTTATAATATTCACACTTATCTATTTGTTTCAGTCTGTTCATATATATCTATTTAACTACCCATTGATATCTCTCTCTCTCTTTATCTATCTATCTATCTATCTATCTATATATATATATATATATATATATATATATATATATCAGTCTGTCCAAATGTATCTATCTAACTACCTATTCACATTTATCTATCTAGCTATCTTTATCTCAATCAGTTCCTATCTATCTATCTACCTATTTACTGTTGTCTGTCTCTCTCTCTCTCTCTCTCTCTATATATATATATATATATATATATATATATATATATATATCAGTCTGTTCATCTATCTACATACTTATTCACATCTATCTATCTATCTATCTATTTACACACATATATGGTTTCATTTGTATGTGTAAATATGTTTATTTGTATGTATATTGAAATGAATAAAACTGAGTATATTTTTATTCACCATTCACATGATTACTCTTTTGTACTTTTAATGTCCAACATTCTCACTACTGTGAAATATTATGACACAAGCATATAAAACAAATTTTCAAATCTGAAACTATTTTAGGAGCCAATCATAAGTGGACAACCTGGTTTGAATTTAGACATAGTGCTATAAAAATTGTTTAAAAGTGAATGCTTAAAGACATTCTGAAGAAAGAATAACACAGGGAATTTTTAAACAATAAGAAAAAAATAGATTTTTATAATTTTGTTATATTAAGTGTTATTTCAAATGTGAATTATTTTAATAAAATGATCACAGTAAGTAATTTGAGAGAGGTTAAAAAGTACAGTTAAATATTATTAGTTGTTACTGAAGAAGAAAAAAAAACAATTGCCGTACTCATAGGCAAGGAGTTATCTAAGCAGAAAAGCCTTGTGAACAAAGGCCTTGAAAATCTCGTCAGATGAGTTTATATAAGTATGAGTTATGTAACAAGATTTACGTAAGTTGTGCTAGATTCTGATGTGATAATGCATATGTGAAGCCTGAATATATATATATTTATATATATATATATATATATATATATATATATATATATATATATATATACATTATTAATGTTGTTACATAAGGTAGGGATATTTTCTTAACATCAAAAAATCTAACATAGAAACATAAATACATCTGAAATGGCTCCCACCACACCAGTTGATATATAGACAGATAGTTATTAAATGACTGGGAGAGATAGATAAAAGTGAACAGAATCAAACAAATATACAGATAGGTGCACAGAACAGACTTAGATAGATAGATAGATAGATAGATAGATAGATAGATAGATAGATAGATAGATATGAACAGAATACGATAAATATATAGATGGATAAACAGAACAGACTGATGATAGATACACAGATAATGAACAGAGATAGATTAATAGATAGACATGAACAGACTGTGATGAATATACAAATAGATATACAGAACAGAATGAGATAGATAGATAGATAGATAGATAGATAGATAGATAGATAATGAACATAGATAGATAGATAGATAGATAGATAGATAGATAGATAGATAGATAGATAGATAATGAACATAGATAGATAGATAGATAGATAGATAGATAGATAGATAGATAGATAGATAGATAGATAGTGTTGTGGCCTTTTTAGTGCCAGAAATAAAGACACAAAGAGAGGAATTGAGTTAAACATATATTAACAGAAACAGTAATACAAACATATACAAACGAGAGTGTTACAAGAATGTTCGGTCCGACTGTCAGAGATGACATCTGGAAACTCGTCCCTCCAAAAGGCAGTACCTGCTCCTATTTATGGCTGGGAAAGTCCATGCGTGCGTGGATAAATTACCATAACACCTCCTCCTAAATATTTACTCTGCAGGAGTCTCAATAGCTTTTTTCTTTGGGTTGATGACGATTACGTCCGTCATTTTCTTTTTCCCCTTTAAACGGCACTGCTCCGGGGCCGCTTGAGGTGTTGGCATGTCAAAAGTATCCTAAATGACATCCATTACTTCTATTTCTTCAGGAGGACTGCTGTTAGCATCGCCTGATAGGCGTTTCCTGATTTGGTTCAAGTGTCTCTTGTGAGTAAACTGGGGACATTTAATTATGTAGATTATATTTCCTACACTTTTCTCAATTGTATCCATTTCCCAGAAAGATTTATTATCACGAAACATCCAGAAAAAAAAACTTTCTTTCAGCTTGGTAGAGTTTTTTTGGTACAGTGTTTGTTCGTCCTGGTTTTGTTTGTTTGGGGAGTGGCTTGTCGAAAACAGTCTTGATTTTACGCGCAAACATTACATCGGCTGGGGGTAATGATGATGGTGTGTTGTCGTTGGGCGTAATTCTATATACCTGAAGGAATTGTTGTAGGGCTTTTTCTGTGGGTGTGTCACTAGCTTTCTTCAGGGCTCTTTTCAGCGTATCAACGAAGCGCTCAGTCTGTCCTTTGGACTTTGGGTGATATGTGAAAAGTCGCCGGACATAAATTGTGTCCCATTGTCGGACACTAGACAATCGACTACCTCAAATCTGGCGTACAACTATAATGTCCAGGTTTGGGTTATTGTGAGTGAGAAACAAGTTCGACATCAAGACTTCTTTTATTTTGACAAATGCTTCCTGGCATTCAGGTGTCCACTCCCAGTCCTTGTCTTTTTTCAGAGGTTCGTTTAGAGGAGAACGTAAGTTGTGCATATTAGGTAAAAACACTTGGTAGTAGTTTGCCAATCCTGAAAAACTTTGTAATGAAGAGACGTTTTCGGGAGCTGGCATGTCTTTGATTGCAGTAGTCCGTTCTGGGTCTGGTCTTCTGCCATCTTTGTCAATAATGTGACCCAAGTATTTAATCTTCTCCATAAAGAAGTCGCATTTGGATTCTTTCAATTTGAACCCGTACTCCTGAATTTTTGAGAAGACTTTATGAACATGTTCCTTGTGTTGCTCTACATTTTGGCTGTTTATTAATATGTCCAAATATGCAACCGCGAAGTCAAGACCGCTCAGCATAGTGTCCATAACTTGTTGGAAGATTGCCGGCGCGACCTTAATCCCGAAAGGTAGACGTTGGAACTTGCACAAACCACGATGGGTGTTGATACAAAGCAACTTAGAACATTCTTCTCTACCGGTATTTGAAGATATGCGTCACTGAGATCGATTTTTGAAAAAAAATTTTCCTCCATTTAGTTTCGCGAAAATTTCTTCCGTGCTTGGTAAAGGATAGTGATAATCTTTGAGTACAGCATTAAGCCTCGCCGAGAAATCGGCGCAGACCCGGATCTCTTTTGACTTCTTTTCCACATAGACGGTCGGTGAAGCCCATTGACTGTACTCAGTTTTCGACAAGACCCCGGTACTTTCTAGTCTGTCGAGTTCTTCATTTATTTGTGGTAAAGAGGCGAAAGGCACATTTCTTTTTTTTTCTTAAACCCTTGCTGGATGTCATCTTTTAACTCGAATTTTATAGTCATCTTATTACACCGACCAAGGCCCCCCAGAAAAGTTTCTTGTAAATCTTTTATTAAATTTTTTGCCTCGGTGGTCAGGTTTTCGAGTTTTTGGCAAAATGAATTGGCATGTCCCACAATTTTTCCATCCAGTCGGTGCCAAATAAATTTTCTGTATTCTTTAATACGTACATTTTTTAGTTTTAACGTCCTTCCATGAAAAGTTAAATTTGTGATAAGTTCTTCCTCAAACTTGATTTTCTCTCCTGTCACGGACCTGGCCATTTTATTAGGCTGATTTTCCCAATTTTTTCCAAGTGTGTAGATCTATGATTGTCAAATCTGACCCAGAATCCAACTGTAATTTAATATTTTTATTTAGGATTTGTACTTGCACGTATTTCCTAATGTTTAACCCATCTTGCTCATCCAATTTTATGTTTCTTTTGCATCTAAAAAGCTAAAGTGAAATGGACACCTCACTCGCCTGACCTGACTCCCCCACCAGATTTCTTCCTCTGGGGGTACCTCAAAGACAATATCTACCAGGACAACCCTAACACCATTACTGCATTCTCACTCATTCTCTTTTTCATTTCTTCATTTCAGCGACTACAATGTAACCTCTCTTAGAAGATCCGCGTCTTCTCATTTGTGGGAGACGCCATGAACATTATATACAGATACACGTACGTAAGAACATTCACCAAAGAACAGGCACAAATGTTCACACACACACACACACACACAAATGTCATTGTCTATGTCCATTGTAAAATTGTTTTGTTTAAGCCCTACGCTTACACAAAAACACACAGGCATATCTAATATATCTATTAAGACTCACATAGTCTTTCATGGGAACTTTGGATACACGTACTAACGAAAAAGGACATACACTTTCATTCATCCCTTCTGTATTCATTCTGTTAAGTCTAAGAATTCTGTTAAACTAAGAATGTTGTAATATGAAATTGGCGTACTTTGTTCAATTTCCATCCGAGACAGTTGCGTTTGCACAAAAACCATTGGAAAGGTATATATCCATCCATTTCCCCAGCTAAGGGTTAAATAGCAGGGCAGACTGGGCTCTCTAACCTTGGGTGACAGCCGGTCTAGTAGGAGAAACATGAATTTAAATCAGCCTGTAGATGGATGGGCTGCATTAGTTTATCTGGCCGTAGACACAGCACTGCTGCTATAGTTGGAGCATATGTGTTGTGCCCGTACAACCTTAATATATTACGGAACTCGTAATGATCCTAAACTAGTAACTAATATTACTACCTTATCTCCCACACAACAAATATATCTCTTTAACAATTAGTAATTCCACAGCAAAAATAAATAAAAATAATAAATAAGTCTATCATTCGTCCAAGTGGATATTGCTGCCACATATGGTCTGGTGCTCTTGCTATATATTTAGATATTCTTGATAAAATCAAAAGAAAAATCTGCAATGTTATTGGTTCTGACCTGTTATCTCAGCTTCAGTCACTTTCCCATTGTAGTAACATAGCTTCTGCCTTTTCTATAAATCTTGCTAATTTTTATGATGAACTTTCAACGCAGTACTAGGTTGGCGGCAAGATTTCATAATTTTGCAGTTGAAATGG